CTTTTACAGAATTTGCACGCGTAAATCGCGGAGAACGCTATCTTGTGTTTATAAGATCTTTGCTTTGTATTACCATAGAGCAAAGATCTTATAAACACAAGATAGCGTTCTCTGAGATTTACCCGTAACAAATAAAGCGTCAATTTGGCACAGAAAAGTAATCAGTTGTGGGAGAGGGCGTCCTAGTCGTTGCCATGGATCTGAGATAGGCTGTTAGATTTACGCAAAAGTTCGTTACCATATACGTTAATTTTGTTCCTTATGTTCTAAAGAGAGGGCGCATTGTAAACCGGACGCTTCTAATTGTTACGCATAAACGTAAAGTCGCGGCGGTCAAGGTTCAAAAGTTTTCAATTTAGCAAGAGGGCGCCGTTCATGCATTATTACCAAAGATCTTATAAAGATCTTATAAGATCTTTGATTATTACAGAATTTGCACGCGTAAATCGCGGAGGACGCTAACTTGTTTTCTTCCAGACAGAAATAATCCAATCCAATTTAACAGTTTACCTTATACTCCATATGCTTTTAACTTGGACAGTAATCTAACATGCGGAACTTCATCAAAGGCTTTTTTAAAGTCAAAATATAAACAATCAAATTAATCCTGGGTATCCAATGATTTTTTGCCAATCAGTCAAAACCTCTAATTGTTGGATAAAACACGATATGCCAGACCTGAAACCATGTTGAGCATCAGAAACAAAGAAAGAATTTCGTTCAAAATGCTTGATAATTTCATCTCGAACAAATGTTTCCATGGTCTTACACACATTAGATATTAAGCTTACAGGTCTATAATTTAATCTTGGCATATTTATTATGAGGTTGTCAACATCTTCAATTTATTTAGTGTTCTTATGGAGATCAATCAAATTCAATTTAAATTTTCACATATTTTCAGACATTTTTCACGAAGGAAGGGTACATACTGAAGGTGAAAATTGTGGAACTTAATTGGCCTAATCGACTGAAGTTTTATGATGGAAACGACACTTCAACCTTATTACAAACAGTTACAAGTTTACAAGACGAGGCTTTAATATCAGTGTCAAATGTGATGACAATTCGATACGAATGTCGTTATTATAGTTATTATTACCGGTACTGTCTTTACAACACTTTCAAATTCATCATTTGGAGTGAGCGTAAGTACTGCACTGTAGTTTTTGTTTTATTTTGAAATACCGCTATATAAATTTGTCATTGAGGAATAGGTATGGAAAACCGAATCCGCCAAAAAAACCAAACACAATCCATGCAACAACAATTCAACTGCACCAATTCAAATCTTTCAAACATTACAAATGAATCAATCGGAATTTACACCTTTCAGGTAGTACTCACACCATCAAATTCAAGATGTGACAATCTACCTCAAAAGCAAACGACAATACGCAACACAATCCATAATAAAAAAAACTCAAACCATGTAATGAATACTGAAACCGAGTAGTCGTTTATTACTTAATTTGATTTGATTTTTTTTGATCAAGAAAAACATCTATTAGCCACGTTGTCTTGTTAAAACTGACATCCTCCAACACAAAAACATTTTGTTAATTGTTTGCCCAGCCGTTGACTCAGCGTGAATTAAATTCACGCTCAACTCCTGTAAGACTTCTGTTTAAGGCAGATAGACACACGCTCCCGCTGGGAGCTTATTTTGTAGTGTAGTCATAAAATGGCAGCAATCATAATTAAATTTCGAAATGGCTGCCATCTTAGTTTTTGAAACCATGTTTATTGAATGCAGAGGGCACAATAACATATGCTTAGACACCAAATTTCCATTTTTTGATTGAGGATAATTGGAATTACATATCAATCTTTTTGATTTTTAGTGGTTTAAAGCGTCCATCTTGAATTTCCAAATGGCTGCCATCCTAGCCTTTTAAAACCATGTTTATTAAACTCAAAGGGCACAATAACATATGATTAGACACCAAATTTACAATGTTTGATTGAGGAGAAAGGGAATAACTGTGGTGGCCATTTTGAATTTTAAAATGTCTCATCTTTAGCTTTTGGAACCATGTTTATTGAACTCGGAGGGCACAATAACATATTAGACACCAAATTCACCATTTTTGATTCAGGAGAATTGGATTTACATACCAAAATATTTCGATTGACGTAACTAATAAAGATGTGACGTCATAGAAGGTTAGACACGTGCGCCAACGTAATCGGGACAGCCATCTCAGCTTTTTGAAACTATGTTTATTTAGACTCAAATTTGCTATTTTTCACAGAGGATGTGGAATTATACTGAATTATTTGATTTTTTGACAGTTTTAATGGTTTTTATCTTGAATTTCAAAATGGTTGACATCATAGATTTTTGAAACATATCTCCATTGAATTCAGTGAGTTCAGTTATGAGCCATTCTAAATTTTGGCGGCTATTTTTAAAATGGCTACCAAAACAAATGTTCATTTTCTGGAGGCTTACCCCGGCTCATTGTTTTAATTTATACCTTAGTGATGTCGAATCAGCAGAGAAACCTTGGTCCCCGAAAATGGTCACTAGCGCCATGTTTACTATAATTGTATTGTTGCTTTTTAAAGTGCTGAGGTAATATACCAAGCCTGGGTGTGTCGTTATACTATAACGTTATTTTCGTTACTATTTTTATGCTTTTAACAACAAAATAAAAATCTTTATAATAAAATTTAATTGTACTATATTCATAATAAGTAATGCTATTTCATCGTGCAAGTGCACGAGATAATGAATTCCTTATAGCCTATTATTTTTAGCTCTTTATCTTTCTATTCATTTCTAGCAATGACAGCCTCGCCGGAAATTAGTCATACGACTTTAGCTGATAACAAGGGGAACGGGTTGACCATTCATACGTATATGTCGGAGCTAAAAATTAATGACCTTACAGCAATATACAACCGTGGAAGTGGACTGCACACCCATGACAGAATACACGATCTCGTTGTAGCATCAAGTAACTTCTCTGGAAATTCATTTAATGGAATTGACATGTACAATATTGTCAATATGTTTATTAACACATCATTTGTTAATGGAAATGAAATGAATGGCATGCTTTCCGGAAAATATTCTTATCTTACTCTTCAGAACAGTGTGTTTGATAGTAACTTAGAAAATGGCCTCTTCATAAACGAGGGACAGTATAATGATTACAGTTACAGTTACAATCTCCATCTTGACAATAATTCATTCTCGTACAATAGAGGAAGGGGCATTTTGCGGAGAGATTATAGTGTATATGTGAATGTATCTATCCATGGAAATTCTGTTAGATACAATCAGAATGGTGCGATAGATCTTGGGACCATACTATCACGTGGTATCAAAGTAATTGGAAATGACATATCAATTAATGCAGGCTATTTCCTGATACATATAGATGTTACAGCTTCAAGGGTAGGAGAGGCAATGACAATTGTGTCGAACGTGCTCTTCAATAACTCTTGTGAACGGCTTTTATTTTTCAGTACATCATCTTCTTCCTACTACATAAATATTGAGGAAAACGTGATGGAAAACAATCAACCAAAATTGAGGTTTTCAAATTCCGTCTGGACTTCGTCTGTCATATTCCTAATTTCTTCTAGCGTCTCTATGAAAAACAACATTTTTGTTAATCCTAATTTCATGTACGAAGTCGCTGTTCCTGGCCGAGACAAATTGTCAACAGTGTCAATAAACGCTAGTCTATCGTGGTGGGGCTCTACCGACTGCTCCTTCATTAACACACGTATCCTAGATGGGAAAACGCGGGCTTCATATCCTTTAGTGCAAATCTCACCATATCGTGTTGGGTATAATCTTTCAGATGTAGATTATCGATCATGTATACAATTGGGGTTCATCAGTGAGCCAGGATCAACAATAGGTGGCAGTATAACAGGTAACGTCACATTAAGTTCTGCCAACAATCCATACAGAGTGGTTCATGACATTGTCATACAACCAGAAGGTACCTTATTACTTGAGGCAGGTGTTAAGTTGTTGTTTGACTTCTATACTGGAATACTGGTTCACGGAACACTTATTGCCGAAGGCAACATCACGGATGTGATAAGGATGGAATCGTTTGACAGTTCTAATGAAACAATTCAATTGATTCGATTATCTGGAGGCAGCAATCCATGGGAAGGTATTCTAGAGGTCTCCATAGATGGTCAATGGGGCTCCGTCTGTTACTACAGCAACTATCATAGCTGGAATAGTGTTGCTGCTCGAATAGCTTGTCGGCAACTCGGATATACAGGCTACATCGGGTATATGACCAGTACGTCAAATCTGATGGACATCCTAGATACTTTCGAATGTGATGAACGCATTCATTCGAATATTGTTTCATGCGGGTTCAAGAATCCATCGTATTTTTGTTCCTCTTATGGTAAAGTATTTTTAACATGCAATCCCGGAAGGTGGCAAGGTATCCGGTTCGCTCTTTCCTCTAAACGGAGTTCAATGATCCACACACATATCAGCTTAACTGGAGGGAATGTCCAAGACTTCAATATCTATTCTGATGCCGCTATTCAAGTAGACCTTCACCACCATCATTTCTTTAATATTAATTTATATAATGTAAATCAAGGATTCCTTTTCTACATCGATAATCCATTCTTGAACGTTGATTCAGTATTGAATACGTACATCAACTGTTCTGGATCTGGGTATGGCGTTTCCATTTATTCTCCATCATATTACCACGACCAGGCGATCATTGAATGTGCAACTGGAATTTACCTATCAACCATGTCTTCCACGCATTTAGAGGATATTCGGCATTACACTCACAAAAGTTCCGTACTAAATTATTTTGAATCTGACCAATCAGTATTCTTCTCTGATTTACTCGTTCTGGACATTCTACCACCAGAGAAAATCTATAATACACATACTCGAAATTTCACCGTACAGCCTGGCAACATTATCGCAATCTATGTATATCAACAATACTTTCATTCCTACGAATCGTTGGTTTTCACTGACACACCAAATGGAGACACCTTACTGACACTTGATTCCACAGTTTCAGGAATATTTCCAGATCATCAGCTGGTTCAAACGTCATCAAACATTCTGACTGTTACATACAAAAATACTAACCAATATTACTACCCTCGGATAAACGCCGGTATTTTGCTCGTATCTTTAAAAGGTGAGTTTCTCTATACTAATTTGTGTTATTTGTACTATTGTTATACTGTATTTCTTGAACCTCATGGATTAATTTATATATTTTATTCTTTTATTACAATCACCAGCAGGTGCAGTACTAAGCAACGCAAGTACAATTGTATTGAATACAGTCAATATACTTCAATTTTCTAGTGGTTATGGGTTAAGAATGCATTCCAATCCAACTAAATCGGAATTGAGAGTCATGAACTCGAACTTTCAAGGTAGTGGGGGATATAGCGGTACTCTTGTGTATTTGGATTATGGCCATGGTGGACGCGTTCTTTTTGAGCGATGCAACATGTCATTTGCTAATTATGGTTTTAGAATTGATGGTACCATTGAGACCATTTCTATTCGTGACTGTAAATTCAAAGACATTTACTATAATGCCATTCATGATTATAACTCTTTTACCTCTGCGACACTAAGTATTGAGGATTGCACATTCAATTCGGCAAGGTACCATATATACAAAAACGCATATTCAATAGATCAAAGCACACGTGTATATAGATCTTCATTTAGTGGTTCGACAGATGGAATTCAGTTGAACCATTATGTACACAACATTTTATTTGAAGGCTGCAATTTCCAATCGATGTCATATGGTGTGCGCATTTTCTCAAATCATTATTATCAATCATATAATAATAACGCTTCAGTATACTTACATGATATCGTTTTTCAATCCGTGAGAGATCCAGTGTATGTAGAAATATATGTTGGAGACAATTCACCCTCAACTGAAGAATGGATTGACTTACGTGTGAGTGATTGTGTAGTTGAAGGTAGTGATGCCTTTCTGGAAACGTATATTTTTACGGAGACACTGAATGTTAAAGTTAGTGTGATGAACAATAGAGTAATGTACAGTAAACAAGCTATTTTGATGACAATTTACAAGAAGAATTTAATCGACAATTTAGTGTATCTGGTTGACATTGTAAACAATACCATAAGTAACAACACGGGTGATGATGCTATTATTGATATTGGTAGAGAATTTCCAGTCCTAATGACAGACGCAGTGCAGGTTGACTTCATGAATAATGTTATCCGGCACAATGTTATAACAAGAAGACATTTCTTGGATAAGTTTTCATGCGGGTTAATATTGGGTGTTCGCACAGCAACCTTGTTTGGAAATGTCTTTGATAACGCTGGAATCGATATGGAGATCTGTAGTGCGCATGTTTTTATTGACCCGGACCATTTCATCGATGCCCGATCCAACTGGTGGGGAACAAGTGAGCACACTAACGTTCGCCAGAGAATCTTTGATAATGAAGATTGGAACAACCTTGCTTACATAATGACTAGATCAAACAGTGAGAACCTCACTTCCGACAAATGCAGTTCCTCGAACATTGGTGGACGAATTAATGCTACTTGTCATCTTAATGTCGCAAATAGCCCGTATGTAGTCCAGTCTGACATTACTGTCCTACGAAATGCAGAATTGATCATAGACCCTGGTGTAACTTTATTTTTTAATGAGGATAATGGAATTACTATTCTTGGAAAACTAACAGCAGTAGGGACATCAAGCAGCAGAATAGCATTTATGCTTAACAATACAAAATACTCAAAAGATAAAGACAAGATACGTTTAATAAAAGGTAGGCTGTCTAGTCGGGTTGAAGGCGTGCTTCAAGTTTATACAGACGGTCAGTGGAAATCGGTCAAAACATATTCATTCGGACATGAAGAAGGCGAGGTTGCATGCCGTCAACTTGGTTATTCGTATGTACGGTATACATACTCAACTCCTGATATCAACTCCGAGTCATACTTATCTAGACGATGGTATTGCAGTGGACACGAATTGAGTTTATTTGATTGTCCAAATTCCAATCGTTATTATAACCGGTACAATGATGTATGGCTGGTTTGTAAAAGTTCGAACTGGGGAAATATTCAAGTGTATACTGATTCAGATTCAGAAAAATCTGCTATACAATACGTTGATGTATTGAATGCTGGAAAACTGCATGATTTTGACGGTGTTCCTGCAATATATGCGTTTGGACCACTGATTCCACTAATTGAAAATATCCATATTGAGAACTGCACTGGACATGCAATTTTACTCGATAGTACAACATCGATTAAAATGAAAGGAATTACTTTGATACAGTGTGAGTTAGGTATATCATCTAGAATATATTCTGCGACTAATGTTCGTGAATGTTATTTTGACGACGTCTACACTGGCTTGAATATAACTACGAGAATAGCGAGTTTCTTTCCATCGCAATCAATGTTTTATACGGAAGGATGTGGTACACGACGGTTTGTGAGTCCAGGTGATCAGTTTGTCTTTCGTGACAATGCATGTGGAAATAATAAATGTATTAGCGTGTTTCAATGCATACGGAATTGCACAATATTTGTAACATTTACGCATCATCAATATTTTTATTGGTGGTATGGTAGAAGGACGTACGTTTATGATGGAAACTCGACCGATTCTAATCGTATTGGGGAAATAAGTTATAACAGAATCGAGACTCTGACGTTTATGGCAACATCAAATGCAGTAACACTGGAAGTATTTTATTATACCACGTCTTATAGTAATTGTCGAGTTGATTACCAACCGGTGGAGATACATCTGTCGGTGTACGAGAAAGGTAATTTACCGTACTTTGTGGCTCTCTTTGGCCTATATTGAATGGTAAACGGTACAATCCTGGAACAGTTAATTAACTGTCCCCTGGTACAGTGATGTGAATGTTTACTAGAATGTAGAAAATGTTCATCATCTTTAGACCACTCGTTAGAGCGAGTGGTCTTATGCTTCATGTTTGAGGACAAAAGAGTTTTGCTATCAGAGGTTTCATTATCACGATATTTGTATGTAATTAGTCAGTGGTATATTGAGTTGAAAGTTTGGGAAATTAATGCCACACGTTTTTTTTTTTTTTTTTTTTTGGGGGGGGGGAAAGTATAGGGAAATTCGTGAATTGTAAGTTTAAGAATAACCTTATAACGATTTGCATAGAAAACAGTGTTGTTAATTAGTCTAAAAAACTGTCACTCAATGTATGTGTGTCTTCACTCTACAACTGCTAGAGTCAAAGAATTTATACCCTCAATCCACGTCAGACGTGCTAATTGTTTGTTATTTATTTACTGTAGCAAAATAATTATTCTTAAGAATGTGTCAGCTTATTTTTGATAAAAAACTTTATTTTTAAAAGCTGAGTAAACGGCAATTGGAAATGTAGTACATGGTACAGTCAGTATTAGCAAAGAATGGTAGGAGGAACGCAAACTAATAATTAAGTATTGTCACTTAATCTCGGTTTCATATAATCGCTACACAGTCGCTACTGCGTTGTCACAGCAATCCTTGCACTATCTGTCCCCGACGCAATCGGTAACGCTCCCAACTGTTTTGCTAATAATCCCCAAAACTGTTATTCCTAGAACAGAAAGGTTTAGAAATAGCCCTATACCTTTTCTCATCAAACTTCCTTATCAAATAAATTAATCCATTCCTGGGTTTCCTTTCTGCAAGAATGTTTACTTGTGCTCCGGGGGCGGATCCCGCCCGGTTTGTGTTTTGGGTACAACTGTGCCAGTGGTATGTGGGCGCCTGTGCCGGAATCAGAATACTCTGTCCTCCTGGCTGCAACTCAAAGGAGGTGTGCCGCAGGGTACTCTGTTCGGTCCGGCCACCTTCTTAGCCCAAGTCAATGATGCTGCATAAAATATGGATACTAACAATTGGGGACTTCAAAATATGTAGATGATCATACCATAATTGAAAACACACCAACCAAATCTCAACGCTACAATCAGATTTGGACTCGATTGAGGAGTGAGTTACTAACAACAATATGAAACTTAATCATCATAAATGTATGTATATAGATCTTACATATTTGCTAAATCTTACCATGCAGCTGATACATTAAAAACTATTAGATAAGCAACTTAAACCTAATAATGCTTTTAACATCTTAGGTATAGGATTTCAAACGATTTGAAATGGCAATCACATGTTGACCAGATAATCAAACGAATCAGTGAACGTCTATTTATGTTAACCACTCTTAAAAGATTTAGCCTGGCAAAATTGAAGATCTGGTTACTATATTTATAGGCTTCATACGTCCCCTTGCTGAGTGTGCGGTTCCTGTTTAAGCCTAACTGAACAGCAACATAATATCCAATTGAAAACTTACAAAAAAGAGGTTGTAAAATCATCTGAGGTCCAAGTTATACTGCTTACCCAGATGCCTCAGTCTGTTGCAATTTAACTACATTAAGAAATAATATGTCTTCAATATGCATGCAGCATTTATGGTATCGTTTTAGAAATGTAACCGTTGCACGATATTTATTACGTACGTAGCAATTTGCTATATTCATTGTACAATGTGTAGGAAATACTTTATGCATTTTATGTGGCAAATATTTACCTAAACTTTACCATGAAATAGATTAATACAATTTTCCTCCAAAACCACAACAGTGACAAATTTAATAATGTACATAACATAAATATTTTGTAATCCTTTACTACTTTCATTAATTGTGTTTTAATGTTATAGAATACCTTCTGAAGTCATCAATTACCATAGAAGATTCCTATTTCGTGGACGTTATGGATTCAGTTGTATCAATTGTGGATAATTACATAGAGGAAGCAATTCCAGTTGATGTGAGCATTTCAAAATCAACTTTTCAAAGATGTTCTCAAATCAGCCATCCCATTATGAGCCATAGAAACGGGAACTGTTCAATCACTGAAAACCTCTTCAAGGAAAATTATGGAAATGTGACCATTCACGGAACATCAAATTATTCTACAATTACTGTTGCACATAATTATTTCCTTTCTAATAGAGAGAGTGGTGTATTGTCAGTCAAAGGTGAATCCTCACCAGTTTATATAATTGGTAACCAATTTTACTACAATGAGCCATCTACTAGCAACGATGTGATAACAATTATGGAAGGAAACACATACCTTACTGACAATGTGTTTTATTACAACCATGGACGGCATCTAATTTTTGTCTTAGGAGACAATATCTATGGTAACCGACTTATAGAGCGCAACATCATGATCTACAACACAGGACAACGTTCAGACGAAAAATTCACCATATTATTAGATAATATTAACACTAATATTACTAGAAATTACATAGTAAACGCTGGTAACGAATTTGAAGTGGCACTTACTTCACGCGTGACGTCAACAGTAGACGCTACGAATAATTGGTGGGGTGCAGATGACATCATTCAACTAAAAAGCAGGGTTCGGGATTCAAAGAACATAATTGGTCATGCGTTCATACAACAAGAACCGTTCTATACTTCACCCTCTGAGTTGCCATTTTATAGTTGTAAGTTTTGAATTTTATTTTGTATCAAACCTGTCCTATTGACTGTTTAAAAAAAAATCACATATGATGCATTTTATTAATGTTTAGTCTATGTCACACATTAACCTATGCATAATCAGACACCAATGCTAGATAATCAATCATCCACCCACGGCGTTGATGCAAATAAGACAATGCAGATAAACAATATCAATAAAAGATTTTTATTCTAATTTACAGCATCATGTCCACCGGCGTATAGCTTAGAAGGATATAAATGTTACAGTTACAAACCAGCTTCAGTCGATTATTCAACAGCAACTTCAATTTGCGAAGTAAGTAGTATAATAGTTCATTAACAGAGCAGCTTATCTATAGAAGCTGCAGAATAAAATGGACAGTACTGCAGATGTAGGCTAAGTAGGAAACCAGTTTTTGAGCGCTTAATCGTGAGGATCCTTATACAGAGCTAGTTTAAGTATATCACGGCTCTCCTTGTGTTTCATTGTGAGGGCTTACCGTATAGTCTTAAGTTTTGTCTACACTATCAAATTTGATGTGACAAAAAATGTGATGTGCCCATATATAGGTATGATGATGACATCATATGACATACTATCAAAAAAAGTTGAACATGTTCAAATCTTACTTACCATCACATTTTATGTGAAGCTTTTTTGATGAAATTTGATAGTTTAGACAAAGCTTAAGGAAGTTAGTTGGTTTCGTGTGAAACATGATGCATTATGAACGTAAACGAGCACGGTACAATTTTTTTTTAAACAGTAGATTTTCTCTAAGTTGGTTCACCACCGACCAATTGAAAAAGTCTTAGGATTGTTCTGGTTTATCATTAGTGTGTTCACACCAAAAGAAGCAAGAGTATATTGTTCAATTTTTAAACAGATCCTCTTCTGTACGTTTCAATTATAATGTTCCGCTTGCTGTTTCTGGGATTTCCCCCCACATGCTTTAAGTTCACATTATATAGGCAGCATATAATACAGGTCTTATGTTATAAATGTTTTCTTTTATAGTTAGACGGGAACACGATATATCAGCTCGCAGTTTCCTATTGTCGTAATTGCATTTTTCGTAATCGTGGATCGGATGTTGAAGATCTAAAAAGATATTTAATCATGAAAAACGCTGAATATTTTCAAACAAATCGCATCTGGATAAAGACATCAAATAAGGTAGAGCAATCACTCATATTATTAATTTTTTCTGAATCGATATTTAATAAAACGATGACGTGTGTCAGTCAAGTTGGACGAAGAATAAAAAAAAAATTATACAAATTAATGATCATGTTAATAAATAAATTTTGTCTAGTATTTATGCAACTTGGTTAATTTCTTTATTCATTTTAGTGTTCATATTTGGAGCTGAACTATGAAAGTGGTGAACATAGTACTGGGACGGCTGATTGCAGCGAGCGATATCCAACTGTCTGCGAACGTGCTACAAGTAAGAAACATTTCGTGTTGCAGTTTTTATACATCTGATTGATTTATTCACATCTTCATACTAAAATAATTATCTGTATTTTAATTATTTGTCTGTTATATAAATTTTATATACATTTTATGTAAACTGATATGCGCCATTTATCTTCGAATATAATTTTAGGAAATCGATGTCCTAACAAATGCATGGGTAATGGAGTGTGCCAGTATAGGACATGCATATGTGATCCAGGGTGGTCAGCGAAAGACTGTTCAAAATATATATGCTCCGATGGATGCTCGAACCATGGTACATGTGTGGGACCGAATGTCTGTCGATGTAAGAGTGGTTGGCAGGTGAAAATATGCTAATTGACATTACACATTACTACTAAAGCTATACTTGATATTACTACATCTACCATTACCACCGCCACTACGACCACCACCACTATCGAAATAATAATAGTGCTGCTACTACTGTACCCTGTCTCTTATACACATCTAGATGTGTATAAGAGACAGGTACTGCAGATGTAGGCTAAGTAGGAAACATGTGTTTGAGCGTTAAATCGTGAGGATCCTAATATACAGAGCTAGTTTAAGTATATCGCGGCTCTCCTTGTGTTTCATTGTGAGGGCTTACCGTATAGTTTTAATTTGTTCAAAGGGATCAAGCTGTACATCTAGCTACTGTAATCGTTTTAGAGACTGCAGGTCATGTGCTAAATTAGAAGGATGTGGTTGGTGTGATTCAACACTCTCCTGTCTCCCAGGAGCGAGTACAGGACCCGACGCCGGAGTCCAATGTGAAGCATGGTTCCATAATTACTGTTTTACTACTGGAGCGTGTTCCAATAATATAGAGGTTGTTATTTTAATGCAATTATTTATTATGACAATACATCTATAGTATATTGTTCTGATTAATTGAAATATGCTTTCTAAAGCATCATGTGCCGTATGATTATAAATATAATTACAAGTAGAGCACACTTCGCCCACATAATTCTCCCTGTATAAAATTCCCATTCATCTTTTCGATTTTTAAGAAGGAACACAGATTCTTAACCTCAACCGAGCTTTCAACCCGGGACCTTACAAGGAAAACTTCATAACAAGCTAGACCATGAACCCGTTTTGATCTATGTGTGATCTGGTAGCCATTGAAAGCCGTCAATCAGTGTTCCTTTGGATGATGACAAACTATTCTAGGAAGCTTCATTCTGATCCAATAATCGGTTTTTGAGATACTTACTTATGGGGTGTTTCATTTTAAGCGCCTCCACATCCACACCTCCGAAACTTACTTAACAAAATTGCATACTTTTTTCTTTGACGAACAATGCAATGACGAACACTTTCAGAAAGGTTTTCAAATGCATTTATCATTTCTTTAGTTAGGTCTTGCAAATTCCATTTAAATATGCCTAGTCCTCGTATTCACACCCTACTCTATATCATTACCAACATTTTATTATTTCTATCTTGAAACATGACGAAACATTCTAGAAAGTGTTGTTCAGATCCAGTGATAAGTTTTTAGATATTTGGGTATGGGACGTCAACACTTTAAATGACCCCAAAATTCACACCCAAATTTTGATTGTCACCAAAAGTTAATTATTTCTTCTTTTAGAGGTTTTATCCAGATCAGTTGTTGAGATATCTGGTCTGTGACGGTTCTCTTTAAATGATCCTCATACCCACACTCTACTGGGGATCATCACCAAAATTAATTAATTATTTCTACCTTAGACCATGCTTGCGGAATAAGTACCTACCATTCATCTTAAAATTTAGTTCCTGTACTGATTAAACTAAACCTTATAAATATAAATAAATAGTAATACCAATGCTCGAATATTGAACGTATATAGTGTTATATCCTTTAATCGGAAATTTCGCACTTTAGTTGTTTCTGAAAAGAATGTTTTTGTCGAGACTTGAACTTTCAACTTCTTGTTATCAAAGCAAGCGGCACACTTAGACCACATATAGATATCAGAGCAGATCTGAAATCCCGATACCTTTTCCCACAGACCTGAGTTTTGCATGCACACAAATGAAGATAGCTTAAGCTAGAATCTAGCCTGTAAGTACGTGTTAGCACTTGTTAACATAATGAAAGTGATATTTTGTCTGTTCTAGATACTTAATTGCAAGTTAACTCACTGTGATATGACTCGATCAAGTACTACGACAGGCTCCTGTCAGAGTTGCCGAGATTTGGAACAATGTTTCGTTGAAAAGGTTTGATCTGATTGATGTGATTTATTACATCCAGTACGATATACTCATCACAAAAAACTAAAATAAAATTCAAGGAAAATTATGTCTAGACAAGATGAACATTAACTAGAAGAGTATTTTAAAAAGTTAAGTAGGGCGGGGAAGGTAAAAATGAAGTCAAACAAGAATCCGATCATTCTTCACCAGGCCTAGATGTAAACAAATGAGGGCTTCATATTTGAAAAAAAAAATCTTTTTGAATGTAAGCCCTGGGTTGTTTGAAGTAGTTTATTATATTTATGACCTGTACCTGTTTTATTTTGCAGCCAAGTGGATGTAATGTTTGGAGTCCAGAAATTTGTCCATCAAATTTGGTTAATCCGAACTATGCTGATCCTGAAAGAAAGAATAATATAGAAATTAGTGAAAAGGTTCAAGTAATCAACGTGAGCCAGAACTCTACAAATATTTACATTTGTCCAGTGAAGAGGAACGATAAAGTGTTGTTGATATCAAGCAAGAAACTCGAAATGACAGAAGCTTCTAATATCCTAGTTTCTTGTCAAGCACAAGGAATTTTCCACACAGTTGTGTCAATACAACATTTATGTGAGTAATTATAAAGAATATTTTTATTAAGAATAATGGGTTTAACTGATGTTTATTATTAGCAATTAAATAATATTATTTTTTAATGAATTAACTATGTATCGATTTTATTATATATTTTAATTTTAAAACGTTAATTGTGTCCTTTTTTTCTATATATATTCAGTAGCAAATTCTTATTTAAGATGTCATTTATGTGTTGTATTTTATGTATGTTTTCATTTAAACAAGAGTGACCGCTCACCGTCCGCGCGTTCCTCCACGCTTAAATAAGGTACAGGCACAGTTTATTATATTGGGGTTTTTTTTATGGAAAAGATAATAAGATAGAAATTTTTAAATAATTAGGATGTTTGTACAAAAAAAAATATTATGTAGAATGTTCATTTGTACAAAATTAAAATATCTTAAAATTGAAAAATATAAAATTTCTAAAAATTGGAAAAAAAATTAATTCCAAGACGCGATTCAAACTGACAACCTTAAGTTCTTTAAAACACATCCTTTACCGACCGCGCCATCCATGTGACATGTAGGGGTAGTGACAGTAATGTACAGTCGTTGCTGAAACCCCTGTTTTGTTTTGTAGGTGTAGGGGGAACCCTGCTGTCCAACTTGAAAAAAGGGGCGATAAAACGTTTGTTGGAAATCACCTCTAGTTTATGTGTACAAAATTTCCTACACGTCCGTTGAAAACAGGCGACGCTGGACGCTTTTAAAGTTTTGGTAACAAGAACAAGAACAAGAACAGCAGTGAGGCTCTGGGGTCAGGGCCTTGCGCTGACCCAATTATCGAGACCTAAATTCTGATTCTGGATCAGATTATGCTCAATTTATGGTTTTTGTAATATTAAACCTGTATAGATTAAATATATTCAAATTGTCAATACATAACCCAAATAGACTAGTGGTATAAACATGCAGAAAAAACTTAGACATTTTCAAGAGATTGTTTAATTCGTATATAAAGTAAATATTAAAAATAACAACGATTCCTTTTATAATTATTGACTTTTTAGGGCGGCATAGCGTGATAATGGCGAGTGTGGCGAGACTTGATGAAGTATTTAAGTACGCAAGTTTAAATGATGTTTTAGACGTAATTCCAATTACTGATTATAGCGATTTACCTGAAGAGTCATTTTGGAGTGATGCTATCAACACTAAACTGTCTTATCCTAGCACAGATGTAGTTTTACTTCAAGGTAGTGTAACGTTTCATTGTTAATTTTCAGTTTGCATAAATACGGTTCTTTAAGTTATTGTGAGGCTAATTTAATGCAATATTACATGTTTGAGTTTTGCCAACTCCAAAAACTACACTTTAATATCTTATACTTATAAAATCATAACCTAAACATAATTCTTACTATTAGCCTAATTGAAAAGGTACTACTGTTCAGTTTTTTTTCTCTTGTTTTAAGTACTGTAAATCAAAAGGCGAACTAAATGACATGATATGATATGATATAACTGAGGCAACGCAGACTAGAGAACCGAAAGTTCCACTGATTAATATCAGATAAGAAAGTATAATACATACTCTAAGTATGAATTCCACCCGCAGAAAAATGTGCCATAAATATCATAAAAATAAATGCTTTTTTTTTGCAATGATTGAACATGTATTCTTTTTTTCTTTAAGATGTTCCATTCAACAAGTGCCTTGGAAGGATACATATTCTAGGAACAAGAAAATACCATTCAACGTTCGTCGTATTGACTTCAGACATCGCAACTTCGTACGATATAGAAGTTGGAGATGTACTCGTCGTGAACTCTACGGGACATTTCATTGAATCTGTTGTCGAAATTGGAGGAGAACCAAATTCTACATTCATCGAAACCAGTATTTTAGACTGTAGTCACGAAGCAATACGAAACAGCGTGTAAGAATGAATATATCTGTATGATATGGTGCATAACAAATGCACTATTAGTGTGTTAAATAGCATAAGTTTCACTGCGAATAACACTGGTTTTAATTAGATGATGTTTCTAACTAATTTTTTAGAATGCTAACACCGCCCTCTTCAGTCCTTCATGAAAACGCTAATATTATTCTCGGATGCAGTGGTGGAGAAAATAACACAGACGGAATTGTTATAATAGATGGAGACATATCTGAAGAATCGCTACAGATTGATACTTCTACCTTAATTATTGGACGTGAAACAAGTGGCTTGGTCGGGAAGGTCAGTGCTTCTTAACAGATAAACAAGGATAGCAATTACACTATCACCGATAAGTATAATCACTAACCATGTGTCTTACATAGAATGGAAGCATATTTTTTTGGAATGTCACTTGTAATTGTATTTCATTATAGATATTACATTATGAAGTTCGAGGTAACTATGTATTTATCGAGGTGCTGGTTGCACGTGACCATCAGGAGTTTAGTGAAATCATCTCAAATGAAGGCGACGACGATGGCATCAACAATTACGACTCTCAAGTTGACGTAAGCTTGAATAAACCACTGATATACACTGTAAGAAAGCATTACTTCTGTACAGAACGAGATTTTATCTTAATGTATTTTCATGTATGTTAATTATAAGGCAATTTTATCTGACAAGTGTCCAACTATGTGTGTGGTACAAAACTATATAGTAGTAAAATGTTTAATCAAAAGTACTGTTGAACCTCAATTTTTGTTTTTTAGCCGTTTATGTTTTACCAGTGAGCACTTTAATGGCCTCTGGTGTAATCAGTGAGAATTGATCTGTTACGTCACTGGTTACCATTTATTCATTTCTTTCTTTTTATTTATTGTTTATAAATATTTATTAATATAATTATTATTATTATTATTTTATTATTATTCTTATTATTATAATATCATTATTAATAATATTATTATTATTATTATTATTATTTTTAGGACGATGACGTTTTATGCGAGATTGACCCACAGTTTCAGTTTAATTCGTCTTTGCGACTAATTTTCTCAACTGACCGTATAAAATACAAACAATTGGATGTAATCTACGAAGGCCCGATAAAGACAGGTCTACATATAAATTGCAGTGCTGGAGTTCCGTAAGTAGCAACAACATAAAGGTATTGTTACTTACCACAAAAAATAATTATTGTAATATTTTAGTAGTTGAATTATAATACTTTATTGGAATTACCTGCTGCCATTTTCTTCTGAATAGATTTGATGATAATGTTGCAAGGCAGTTTGCTGTAAACAGAAGAACTGGAAATTATTACGTGTCATTGGGAGGTTTGAAAATTCCTTTATCCGTCGATTTAAAAGCGAAATATTCCATTATAGCTGGCCTACCAGTGAGTATTCATTATTGCAATAAATCTAAATCAATATTTAGATTTATTGCAATTTATTTATAACTTTAAAAACATGTAGACTTTAAGAACACTATTTCTTCTTCATGTTCATTTCTTCTTCACACACACACACACTTCACTGTAGGTGTAAATTATCAAAAATAATCACAGAAATAATAAATATAATATTAACAATAATACCAATATAAGTAATTGCTAAAGTGATTCCATAACATATTTCAAAGAAATTACCAAAATATTTAAATACATCTATTATAATATACGTATACAAATATATACGTATTAGCTGATTTAGTGCCTAATTATATATATATATATATATATATATATATATATAATAAGTAAGCAGAAAAGCCTACAGAAAATGCAAAAGTGGTGCACTCAGTGAACGTCTTCCCTAATTCACACTCTTGATATTGAAAGGTGAAGGTTTAGTACCAAAATGTCTGAAGTTAAATAGAAATTCAAAAAACTCGTTGTCACATGTCTTGGTCTACATCAACAAACGCCCATACCAATTTCACACTTTTTCTTTATCATATACAGGCTCCATTGGAAACCAAATTTGGTGTTACTTCTACTGCAGAACTAAATATCGGGTACGGCATCAGGCCCCAAGAAGAGAGACCGGTCGTACTTACACCAATGGTCTGTATATGTATTTATTTTTGCTTAATTATCAGATAGATACGTTTGTACTATTAGTATTACGATGTTCACTAATTTAATCTTCTACGCTCAGAAAATGATTTGCCTTTGGTATAACAATTGTAATAATGATGATAATTATGACGGATAATACACCAGCTATACAGTAAAAACAATAATCATCTTACACAGAAAATGAATATGTGTGTGTATATATATGTATGTATATATATGTATGTATAAAACATATACATATATGTATATATATATATATATATATATAAAACATATATACAGTATATATGTATATTGAATTGAATTGAATTTATTCTATGCTCATATATAAAATATTAAATATAGAAATACAATATAGGAATTTTTTTACAATAATCAAACACAACGAGCATCTGGAACACCCTTTAGGCCGGGAATCCAGCCCATTTCCAATGGAGTCCAAATTGCACAATTAAATAGTTATAAAAATTAATACATATTAAAAAGGAAAAGAAAAAAAGTAGCATTTAAAAACTAAGATGCACCCAATTAACTAATAATTTAGATAGAACACAACAGTGCTCAATTGTAATTATTGCAATTGAGCACTATTGCGTTCATACAGTTTTTTGATGTGTATTTTAAATGTAGCCATATTAGTAATTAATTTTAAATTAGTTGGGAGAGCATTTCAGTCATTGATAGCCGAAACGAAAAAGGTTGAATGAGACTGATTATTTCCTTTAAGCAGAGGTACAACCAAATTGACTTTACGTTGACGAGTGTTATGTGTATGAATTTCAGAAACTCGCGTAAATTGCTCTTTGCAACAGCTATAATAATAATAGATACAATAAAACAATAATCATATTATATGCATTTTCAGAAAAATAAATAAATATATATATACATATACGTATGTATATATATATGTATATATATATGTGTGCATACATATATGTATGTATGTATATATATATATAAATGTAAATGTAAATATATATATATACAATATATATATATATATACAGTATATATATATATATATATATATATATATATACAGTATATATTAGTATATGTATATGTATATGTGTATGTATATGTATAAATACCAATTTTTCAGGTGTCTGATGGTGTTACAAGTTCATCCAGAGTTATTAAATCACACCTTTCAAATTATACAAACATCCATATTTCGATTAATGGAACTTTTGCCCCAACGTTAACGGTAACATTCCCAGCCGAGCCTGCTCTGCCATTTTGCTACACCGCATCTCTTCTTCCTGATTGGCTAGCTTCATTTGGTAAGAACCTAATATATACATAGAAAGTATAAACCACAACGTAATGACTCGCCACACCACGGTATTGTATGACTTATTTTATTTTATTTTATTTTGTTAACGTTATAGAAGATTTTATTACCATTGAAATCGCTATGAAATGCTTTGATTATGTGTTTCTAAAATTGTCTTTTTAGTTGGTGGTAATACACACACGATGTGTAGCGAAGTTCCAGATGGAGATGCACCTTTCGGTTTCCAGTTTTCGACCACGTTTGAAATTCGCTCAAATTTGACTGTATTTTTGTGCGACGAAATATGTATAGAGGAGGAAAGACTACCGTATGACATTACACATGCTCTGTTGTTGTACGGTGGTCTTTCTCAGATCTATATGGAAGCCACATACAACCAGGTTTACCCGTCAAAAACATCATACCAGTCCACAAAACCATTTGATTTGGCAGTGAACACAAGGTAACGTTTAACGTTGACATTTTTTCTCTATTACCGGTATGGTGTCGTGATAAGCATAATGTTTTATCAGAATAAAATTATAAAACTGTATCCATATGTTATAATATTATTGTTTTTATTTTCATTTTCATTGTAATTATTAGGCCTACATTTATTGCATTTTTAAAATCATTCATATTCATGTTCAATTTCATTTTAATTTCAATGTCGATGACGTTTTCGTTTTTATTAATGTTTTTTTTAGTGCTCTTTGACTTCATTATTTTATTTTAATAAATTTGCCATTTACGAAATGCATTGGTTACCGTTTCATATAATTCACAAATATAAAAGTTATGTATCCACGATGTTTGTATATCAATATTTCAATAGAGAGTGTAGTGCGCATCCATTCCTCAATGTACCGAACTGTCTTACTGGGCAAACAAGTGAACCCGCCGTCAATGTAAGTATTTTTTTTTTTATAGACCTCAAATATTTATTTTTTTTTGTTATGGTTATAATAATTTTAAGCAGTTGTTTCTATAGTTTTACTAATAATGTAACAAAATACTGTGTACAATTTTTATTGTAATACTTTATATTTTGTTTGTTAATACAAAATCAATGAAGAAATTAAATCAAGCACAATGCTTATATAAAAATATTCACTGGACATATTGCCAGTGTCTAAGGTCAATATATTTCATTATTTAACTTTCAATTGTAAATTTTAATCGCTATTGTCTGCTTAATTTAGGATACTGAAAGCGTAACTTGTCCTGACAGCACCACACGTTTTCAACACGACGCTACAATTCACTGTCCTTGCAACTGTGCCGATGGTACCGTCAGGGAAATGTCGGAAGACGGCTCCTGTCCTGTAGGTTTTGTAATACCCTACTATAGTAATAATATGCATGTATAAAAGCCAGGAAGTCATCTATGCACTTAATATTGAGAAATTGCTTCTATCATTTTCAAATAAAATACTAATACTTGTTTCTGTAATAATGATTGATTACTATGTAAGTAGTATTTTCAAATAAAATAATAATACTTGTTCCTGTAATAATGATTGATTACTATGTAAGTAGTAATCTTTTGATCTTTTCTTATTTATTTCTGTGGGTGTGTGTGTGTGTGGAGTAAGGTGTTTAGAGGAGGTTTGTAAACAGAGTAACTCAAAAACTGTGCACACAATCTTACCGAATCTATATCATGCTGTAAATATTGAACTACTATGTGATAAATTACCACCTCAACCTAATTAAAATAACATGGTGGTGCAGAGATCTTGTTGACTAAGTGATACCAATGGTTTCTAATTAAATATATTGTATCAATGAAGGTAATCGGAATGCAGGCCGAGACAGAGTGTCCCTACATGATAAAGTTGCATTATTTAGAACGTTTCTGTTGGCAATGTTTGATATTCAAGCGAACAGAAATTTATATAGAGCCCTAGGAGACAGTAGTAGTGCCAAAATTATCCCAGAGGGGGAGGGGGTGGGTTGGGTAGCGGTGGGAGGTAATGTCCCTGATGGGAAGGCCGATTTCCTTGCCAATTATAGCCTTAAGTGGGTGAACTTGCATAGTAACCACGACCTTCGCAGAAATCTAGTTATGTCAATACAACTCAAATTATGAAAATTGTAGAAAGGAATAGAAAAAGCAAACGCAAAAAGAAAACACATTACCGCAGTATTAAAAATGCAATCACAAGAATCCGGAAAACCATTATTTTAAACCAACCATCTTGTGTAATACATAGATAAAATGTATCAACAAACAAACAAAACAAACGGCACTAATATTTTAAAGATCTAAAGAGTCAGAGAATTTTATTTGTCATTTATAAATGACAAATTTAAGTTGCCAAAAATCAGAAGTAAGTGGGAAAGCGACCTTCAAATTGATTCAATCGACTGGGATTGGTGTTGGAAAAACAAAATATATTTAATGTTACATATGAAAAAGATTGCGCATTTTAATTTTAAGCTTCTACACACAATATTACCGGAGCGAAATAACTTAAATTATGAAACTTGGCCTCCACAAATCATTGTGAGTATTCTAATCTCTCAAAAAAATAAAAAGCATATGATATTTAAATGCAAGGAGATAAAATTATGTTTAGAAATTTGCTTTTTATATCACCTAATGAAGTGTAGTGGAATAAAAATGTAACGCACCGTTAGTTCATATGGAGTACAATGATTTATAAAGAAAGCAGTAACAAATAGAACAATAAAAAAGAAAGTAGTTGAAGTGGATAAAATCTACACAACAGGGAAAGAGACAGGTACCTCAGATGAAGGTTTTGATGCTTGCTTGATGGAGTCTATTGATTTTATTTATGTTTATTTTTTATTGTTAAAAATTTCAAAATCCTTAATTTTGAATGAACATTTTGTATATCTGTATATTTTGTTTAATGTATGTCAAAAGTTTATAGGAAATATAAGTGATGGTTTCATCATGAAAGAGAGAGAAAGAGAGAGAGAAAAAAACAAGACAACATTTTTAAAAATTAGAGCCAACTAAAAGGAAAATGACGTTTTATATTTTATATAGTGTTCGTGTCAATGTGCTGACGGCTCCTATGACACAATCGCAGTCGATGGTAGCTGTCCGTGTGAATGCAAATGTCTTGATTGCATGACATCTACTCTTGGTCCTGATGGATGTGAATGTCCAGTGATATATGACATATGTCCGCCCTGTTTAGTAGGTGAAATTCAGGTTTTTGATAAATGTATCTGTCAGTGCGTACCTGTTGATCAATGCGGAATTTTACCCACGTGTGTTGTTGGACGTCGAGGGGATTATTGTAATCAACTGGATTGCCGTCCATGTCAAGGTATGGTGGCATAAATTACTTTTTACAGTAGAGTGTGGGATTTCATAACTGACCCGACTTATTATGACGTAGCAATAATATTTGATGTCAAAAATCTACTGCAGCTAATACGATTTGATATTATAATTGTAATTCTAATAATGTTGTTGAGATATATTACATCTGTCTCTTATACACATCTAGATGTGTATAAGAGACAGAATACACACACGATGTGTAGCGAAGTTCCAGATGGAGATGTCGGTTATGGGTACCTGTAGATCTAGATGCCTGTGTAATAGAAATTGGGAAGGCACATGTTGTGAGATAAGGCGACCAGCACGAGCCTCCGGAGACCCACATCTTCTTACCTTAGACGGTAATATTTCGTTTTGTAAACCCTTTTTTTGTATTAAAGGATGCAGGGAAAATATTAATCCTATAGCAATGTTCTGCAAAGAATGGGCCTGAACGTGTATGCCCGAAACACAGTCATGGGATGTAGCAGACATTTAAAGCTGGAACATAGCGTGAACCATTTTCTACAGCCCGTCCACAATGTAAGCTGAGGTATCTAATAAGTCTGGTCGGAAGTGAACAGCATGAGGCGCGAACTCCCCACCACTATGCTGAAAAGTTGAGCAACAGCTGCCTCCTTCAAAAACATCATAAAGAAAGAACAAGAAAGATTAGAATTTTTTTAATTTTAAAGATGAGATATAAAGGGGTGCTTGGGGTTTAAAATTTCTAATAAATTATATATAGAACATAAAGTGTGCACCTTGCTGATAAGAATTTCACAGGTGTTTGGAGTGCGGTAGTGCAGAACGAGGCTCCAAACTAGGTTTCGAAATGCAAGTGGCCATGGCATTACACAGTGTATTAACATAGGACAATTCCTAAAATGAACTAATTTTAGAAAGCTGGCTTTTAATAACCGCCGAAGAAAACACATTCAATTTTATTATAAGTTCATGAGTGACAGCATTATAGTAATCATCGTGAGTGATAACGGTACTGGGTTTGGACTACAGGAGTTCGTGCTTCGAACTGGTCATTCCATTCATAGAAGAAGCCTTTTGATGGAGAAAGTGTACCTATTAGCAAAGGTTTGCCCAGGTCGAAACTAACTCCGGCTATATAAAATTGATTATAAGATTGAAAAATATTAATCTTATTATTGTAGTAATGATAGATACTATGTACACATTTAAATTATTGTTATTTATTTGTTATGTCATTATATTTACATTTCATCTTAACAGATACTGTTGGTTTAACATGCACAGACTGGTGCAATCGAAACCAAAGAAGAGATATAATACCTAAAACTCACATGTCGTTCAATAAGGACAGAATTATCAAAAGATGTTGAAATATCAAAATGCACAGATGGAAAACAGTTTATCAGTAGTGCTGCTTTAGTACTATGTCCTTTTTTTAGTTATTAGAATACATGGTTGTAAACATACAGTTAATTACAATTACCAGTTTAATTTAAATATTCAGGTGTTGATTACGACTACTATGGAAATGGTGAGTTTTGGAGCTGTCGAAGCATTGAGAATGATTTTGGGATACAAGCAAGATTTTATGAGAGTCATAAATCATCTTTAACTGGTGGCATTGCAATGAAACTTGGGAAACACGTCATAACAGTTACTACACCAATGAAGGCAGACTTTGAAACATTGCCAACACTGAGGTATAAATCAACTAATATCCTTATAAGACACATCTAATGTGTTTCAGCTATGCATATCACCAATACTGTAAATATACAATGGTACTCTTCTGCTGCAAGGCAACCATTCTAAAAAATGTTTCAACAAATATTGTACACTAGGTATATTAAAGGAAGAGACCTTTTGTCTTACGTCATCAACTTGTGTTGCTGTTGTTAACAGCACCTCAATCAGTGGTGGACTGTCAAGGCAAGCAAGGTATGCAGTGCATACCCTGGCTAAAACAAATAAGAAAATATAGTAGTACAGTTTCTGCGTTTGATTTAGCATTTCTTAGCCACAATCTTCTATATAAACCTTAATTTTTTTGAGTGGATTGCTGTAGTTTATTGGAATAAAGTAAAGTTCTTCAATGTTTGGCCTACTTTGGTATTTAGGATAAGTCACATTCGGGCCTATCGCATTGTACTCTCAGCTGCTTAGAATTCCTGCATGGCTGGTTTCAATATCAACCAATCATGTATTCAGAGAGTCAATGGAAGTCAGAGCATACCCTCCAACGCTTAAATTTGCTATTGTGACAACCATGTAGTGGCGTCAGAATAGCCAATTTAACCCTGGAATGGAAGCAGTTCTAAGAGTATGTGCGCATGCACTTCCCGCAAATCAGGACCTCCACCAGTTATCTGAAATTGTTGGTATATCAAATATTAATTTACCAAATTCACAAGTACTGTACATCGGTTCACTTAATATTTAAGTTCATATTAATCCCTCAAATTATCACTTCCCAATTCCAACTTAATTCACATTACTGCTAATACTTGTTAGCTCCCCTCCTTGATGATACTTTAATTTATCAGGGTAGATTATTCTCAATTGTGGTATTTACTGTAATATTTGACTATTTGTTAGTTGATCTCCTTTTTCTTACCTCATTGTCTAACCACACATCAAATTGTGGTGTGTTAAAGGTACAAACTTAATCTTACATTGGCAGCACAAAAATAACTAAATACGTTAAATTTTGATAATCCTAGTTATGTG